ATAATCTGCTCTTCATTCTTAAGAAACCATAAAAGGAAGATTTGTTTTCTTTCAATGAAGTGCTTGTAGACGTCACTAGCAGGATTTTCTACTTACGCTTTCCCAAAGATTATAAAATTCTGTAAATATTTAAGAATATATTACACCATGCAGTGAAATTATTCAATATTTTTAGTAAATTAATTTTACATTTGGCCCAAAAAAGGGCCAATGTTAAACTTAATTGATGCTAAATTATTCTTGGAAATGTTTGTTTAAATGGCCCTTAAATTTTTATCACAAGGTTTGATTTTTCCACAGAATTCCTTATTTGAATTTCTTACTATATATAGGACAGCACATTAAATCACACAGTTAATTTAAGCTACTTATATTAAGCATTGGTACTTTCTCTTCCTAGCCCATTCTCACCGTTGTCTTCCTTACCTTAACCTGATGGCACCACTTGCCAGTACTGAAACTAAAATCCAGAGTCTTCCTTATTACTTACTGTCTCATCAGGTTATATTCGTCATTGTTCACATTTTCTCAAGCCTTCCTCGGAAATGTACATCAAATATGGTATACCTAATTACTGCTTTTGTTTAGATCCTAATAATCTTTTATCAGCAGTAAAACAATAGCTCTTTAAATGATCTTCATGCTACCAAACTCTCCCTATTTTAACCCATCTTCTACTTTATGACAATCTGATTCTGTTACTAGCATACTTAAAAACATCAAAACAAACATTTTCAGGGGTAGAAGCAAAATAACTTAGTTTAACTGTTGTTGCTATTGTTTTTACCTCTCTTTGCTGTAATTTTTTAGGTCACCTCCATCCTTTTACTCCAATTTCAATCTTCGTATGTGTTTTTACATCTTAATATTTTTATGGTGTTCTTCAGAGTGTTTTTAATAGTCCTTTCTAGTTTTAATGTATATTAATAATATAAATTATTTATTTGAAATAAATTTTTTCAGTATAAATGAGCCAGAAGTTTTCCCACATTTTCATCCTACAAAGTTGCAGTGGTTAAAAATATAGTAGTAACTATCTTATAATGAATAAAACAATAACATAAAGAATGAATGACATAGTTGAGTGACCCATATTTTTTATTTCTTACTTTTTCTGTGCCCTTAATTTTTTCAGACATCAAATATGTAACACTACTTTGTGATTTATTGTTGTATAATGTCTTTTTCATCTACTGGCTTTGGTTGGAATTTTATTTTTCATACCAGTAATGGCTGCAACAAACAATAAACCAGCTAATTTTTATAAGAAGAGGTCTTTAAAGATATGTATACTGTTAGACTTGTATTTACAGGTTTATCGCTAACAAACCTGGCATACTTATACAAAATATAGATAATTATAAATAAGCAAGTTCTAACATAGGTAAGTATTGCTGAATAATATTTATTTATCATGTATCAATATTTATAGTAAGCATAGAGAGTGTTTATAGTTAAATTGCAATCTACTAAGTTTTTTGAAGATAATAAATTTTTATTGAATTTTCTTTTTTTCCTTATTTTATAACAATGTTGTCTATTTTTTTATTATTAGCTTTGATACTTCAAAGCAACACTTAAAAACTGAAATGCTGTTCTTACAGGGTACGCAATGTATTTTATGCCAATGACTTTTTGGTTCCCTCACTGGGGAAGACAGCAAATTAAAATATACTTTAAGCACACACTAAATTAGTTTTCAAGTGTTTACTACTGATAAACTGCACACTTGAAAAGTCATAGTCATGATTTTGTTCTTGTTGTTATTGTTTTCTTTTTAATACATAAAGATTCTGCTTGTAGCTGTGAGTTTGGAAAATCCTGCTAGATTACACTGAATTCTGAATGGTACAAACTAAAACCCAGATTGAAGCTCTCATATAAAATATGTTTTTGCATCCATCAAAGACTAGTTTCTCTGACATGTACAAAGGCACATTCAAATAAATAAATGTGTAAGTCTGATTATTAGTTACTAGCAGTGACTTTGTTCCTTAGAACTGTATTTTCTACAAAATATCCATCCATCTCCAGAGGCCTCATCTTGGCATCATTAGTCCTGTTGACATATGGCCAGATGCCTTCCTGAGGATTTGATCCTTGTAAGGAAGGGTACCGCATGAAATCTCCAGCCACCTGTTATTTGGGAAGATAAAGCAAATCTTCAGCACATATGCTAAATAGTCAAGCATTGTCAGTTATTAACAAGGAATTCTTTTGAAGTAGACTGGTTGAAATTATGTACTTATGAACAAATGTGAGAAAAAAGAAAACTATTCGTGCAACACCCATTAGAAGTAAAGTGACTGCAGATAAAATATATGCACTGAAGCTATTTTATTAGGATTTTGTTATTATTCCTAATTTTATCATTATTTCACAAAATGTTGAGTAGTTGTACAATGGATTTCTGCAAAATAGAAAAATATAAAGGAAGGGAAGAAAATGGGGAAAAGATGTGGGGTTTCATTTCTCAAGTTTGCTAACCACCTGACAACGGATATGTCACTTTTAGGCTCAGCACTTTCAGCTATCCCTTCTGTAAAGAATATGAATCTCTTTCTTTCTTCAGTGCTTTATTAGAGGAATCAAATTGGGTAACATATTTGACAGCTTAATATATGATGACTAGACAAATAAATGAAAAGTACCACTAGAAATTGAAGTAATGTCCATTCTTGAGATGTAAATTTTATTGAGGTATTAACAGGGTAACAAATGCTTTTAAAAATTCTTTGGCAGCAGGTAGTAACCACTGTAGGTGGCTAAGCATTTATGATGTCAGAAACTACATATACTTTGTATTTATTATCACATTTAATTTTTACAATTCTCTGAGATTACCAATTCTCTGAGATTACCGATTTTCCAAAAGAAAGAATTCAGGTAAGTCTATATGATTCCAACTAAAAATCACATGTTAATCAATATCTATATTTTCAGCATATGCATATTATATACATGAGAATTAAAAATAATGGAAAATTCTTATATATTGAGGAGCCAAAAGCTTCATAGTAGGGAATAAACCATGAAAATATTTACAGCACAAGATAGCATGCATGATGATTTCCTAAAGGTTGTGGCAAGCAAATTTGAGAGCAAGGTGAAGTCATGTTCAGGGTTAGTAAATACATGATAATATAATCTTTTTTGGACAATACTGAGTTTCATTTAGGAATATTGGAGATAATCAAAGATAAAGAGTTAACACCATAGAAATTTTTTTCTTCAGAAAGGTAAGCCTAAAGCAGGTCTATCTAGGCAAACCAGGGTGACTAGCCATCAAAATCAAAATAATCTCATTATATTTTAGAAAAGAAAATGAAAATATCAAGAATTTTTATTTCTTTAAATAAATAGTATATTCATAAAATGATTTCATATTTCAAAGGTATAAATTATTTCAGTTATAAAGTTTCCCTTTGGAACACATACCTTACAAAGAAATATTCAATTTGCATGGTAGCAATCATTGTGTACAAACTACCAATTTTTTTAAAAAAAGCTGTAAAATCTACCTTTTTAAAAAAATATTGGGTTTAATCTTATGGAACTACTAAATGTATCATTAGTCAGTTATGCCTAAAGCCATCATGTTCCCTATTTATTTTAGTTTTAATTTCAATGGGTGCCATATCTACTTAGAATTACAGTATAATCCAATCATTCAACTATCTCCACTCACTCTATTGGTATCCTCTATATTTATTAAAACAGAATGGGTGAGGTACTCCTGAGGCTTTGATATTGAAGACTAAATTTAGTTTCTTTTCTTTTCTCCCCATCCCTCCCCTCCCTTTCCCTCTTCCCTTCCTTTCTTCCTTCCTTCCTTCCTTGTCTCCTTCCTTCCCCCTTTCCCAGCTTTCTCCTTTTTAGTTTTTTAGCAAAATTTCACCTATCATGCATCAAGTTACATAAATGTTTCAGCAATGTAATATTTTTTCAAGTTATCTTAACTATCTAATCAATTAGTAAAATAATCATTTTCTGAAAATAATACTTCTAATGCCCTCTATGCCTTGTCTCATGATTTATTACTTGCCAAATAAATATATTTACTTGAGTTTTAGAGCTCTGCCTTGGCCACAGACTGGCAGGAGTTCTGTCTCTGAACCTGCCCTCACTTTTGGGTTGACTTCCACTCAGCCAATTGATTAATGATCCTCAAATTTAACCCATATTAGCAGGTTTCATTATTGTCCATTTCCCTTATTTGAATAATGCCTCTGTGGAAAACACCTTTTCCTGTGTTACCTGTCAGAATTCTCCTACTTTCAGTGGCAGAACTCAGTAGTAGCCTAGACTGATAGAAGATGTTTGGCTAAAATGCTATTGGAAGTCAAAAATTTCTAAGAGAATAACAGATACTAGATAGCTGAGGATTGAACTGGGCTAAAGTCTGTTATACATAGACAAGATCTTAATGCCTTCCTTTTTGTTTGCTTTCTCCTCAGTTTTTCTACATTATTCATATATTAATAGGAAAGATGTTATTAAAGCATACAAAATGGAAACAAAGATGGAAACATAAAGGAGCACCCTATTACAAATATTCTGATAATATTAAGAATCTCATGTTCCTAAAACATTAAATTAAATATCATCTAAGACTTATAAACAGCCATCTCATTGGTAAAACATGTTTTATGTAAAAGAAATAGTTGAGAAAATTTTCTCAATTGGTAATTCAGCTCAATAGTTGCTAAAGTTTAAACTGGTAGCACTGGTGTTCTCTAATATGTCTCAGAGACTTACTTATGTTAGCAATTTACCAAATGCTTCTTAAATTGTATTTCAGCCAATGTAGTCAGTTTTATAGTAATATACATTAAATTGTCTCAAGAAATTAGGCAAATAATATTTTAAAGCATGTATAATTCCTTAGTCATATCATAAATAAAAATGTCCACTTATTAATTCAAGGTAGTAATTACATGGGAAATACAAAGAATAGATTTGAAACAGCATTGTTCATATTTCCTAAAATTTTATTTCAGCTGTGAATGTACATCTGGGTGGACTGGACAAAACTGTAGTGAAGAAATAAATGAATGTGACTCTGACCCATGCATGAATGGAGCTCTTTGTCATGAATCTACCATCCCCGGGCAGTTTGTATGCCTGTGCCCACCCTTTTATACTGGAAAATTTTGCCATCAACACTATAACCCCAGTGATCCACTCACTGACCCTTACAGAAACAATGAAACATGCTTGACTTTGGTGGATGGAAATCATTATTGTATTTGTAGAGAAGGTAAGAGCTTTTACTTGTTTTAATATTGTATTTTTTGTTTTGTTTTCTCTGTAGATGACAACTTTTTAAAAATGGGTGAGAGAAAACCTATATACATTGGGGGCGGGGGTATCTGACTCAAAATCCAAGTATGTAAACATACTGGGGGAATAATTTTAAAAGTTAATTTAAATATTAATGGAGAAAAGGAAATAGGGTGAAATTTTGTAGCTTTGGGCTCTTTTTTTTCCTTCTCTCGGAAATCCTCTCTCATTCTTTGTTAACAGTCTCTCTTTATAAATAATCTTGCCAATGTCCTATTCCCGACAATAGCAGCTAGTTAGAAATGGGCATAGATTTCATCTAGAGCAGTGATTTTTCAATAGGTGTGCCACTATTAGGCACACTGGTGTGCCACAAGAGTTTTTAAAATGTGCAACACCTGACTAGTTAGTCAGGGGCACTTACCTCTTTTCCCTTAGATTGTCAAATAAAAAAAAAACTAATAATAGCCAACATGATACTAGTTGTCCTCTATAAATCAATCAAAACTATACCTATTTTTCCAGATTAGCAAAAAAAATAAAATATATTAATGATGTGCTGCAGAATTTTAGTAATTATTTTTTGTGTGTCATGAGATGGAAAAGGTTGAAAATAGTTTGTCTAGGGTAATCAAATACTTCACTGTTACTTTTCTCCTGGTCCCTATCTATAAACATTACTTCTTTCTGCTTAGATTGATGAAATAGGATCATATGACTGTAGTGGCTACTTTGTACAATGAGAGAGAACCATGGGAAGAGATAGAGAATAAACAGATCGAAGGACATTATTGGAACCCCTGAATCCATCCATACCTGAAGCCAGGCTACTTCTAGCTTTCTGGGTCACATCAACCAATAATTTTACACATAATCATTAAAGATGCTTGATTGGGATCTCTTCAGTTGTGACTAAAAGAGACCTGATTAATGCACAAGTAGTCTGGGTAAAAGGTCACTGCTCATGTACCTCTGACTACACAAAATCTATTACCATCTTCAGAGTAACACTTCTGCCATAAAACTATCACATCACAGGGTTTTCATTGTAACTGGAATATGTCATAAGGACAATATAAAAATCACATTGTGTTTAGAGTTGTACAACTACTATTTATTTCCTAATACTTATGGGTTCATGTCTCTTTCCTTCTAACTGGCTCTACTAGAATGGGAATCTTTTAAAGATAAGGATAATACTAATTTACTCTCAACAGTATTGGTCCAAAAATGTCAGCTTAGACACCATTAATTAATTAGTTATCTTAGTCAAATCTATTTGTCTTTATTTTTAGAAGTCCTTTAAAACTTCCTGATTATATAAGGTAATCTATTATAAGAATGCAGAGGCAAATCCTAGCACCTATGTATATGACAGGAGCTTCTGGGCCTTCTGAGTGACTATAACTGGAAATTAAAAAGCTATTGGTAATTTTATTTTGCTAAAATGACACTGGTATAAAACATATAGTGTGGGAATATAGACCTTATGCATAAATGTTTTCAAGAAAGAGGCAGGAAAAGCAAGTTAGGACAAAATGTGAGGGAGAGCATTTGGTGCCCTGAAAACCACAGTAATTATGAAGTATATAATTTAAATATTTTTTTAGAAAAATTATTCAATATCAGGCTACTTTATTCAGCAGGATTATTCCATGGTACTTTACTTGTCCTACTAATATATTATCAGAATATAACTAATATATAAATATTTATTGTGGAGTAGCAATTTATTTTCTCAATTTTAATAAAAACTGTTTTCAACAAGTAATCTATGAGATGGGCATGGTTTTTGAATTCATATTTTTTAATTATATTTTATTGATTATGTTATGTGGGGTAAGTGGAAGCAGTCTGGCTTCTTCACCCAGGTGTCTGCATAGCTAAGGGAAGCAGAGTTCCTTTAGCCTTGGAGGGGACTGATAACCAGTGTTCTCATAACCTTGAGACTGGGTCTGATAAACTGTTCCCATAACATGAAGTGAGCTCGTATGTGCAGAAGTATGTTATGTTATGTTATGTTATGTTATGTTATGTAATGTTCTGGCAGTTTTCTGGTTTTTTTCCCCCTCTAGTACTTAAACAGGTAGGGGCTCCCGGCTGGGGCCTTGATGGTGAAAGACACACAAGGGGGCAGGTGCCATGATGTGTGCCATGCTGGGGAATGAGGGCCATGACATGAGACATGCAGATAGACATGCAGTTTGCAGCATGCATGGCTTGCCCACCCATGAATAAAGGTGTGCCAGACATCCCAATGGCTCTGTGAATATTTTTGTGTCTGCACAAATACTATGAACCTGCCTGATCTTGAAAGGTGGCGACATATGTTACTACAGTTGTCTTGATTTTATCCTTTTGCCCTCCCTCCACCCAGTACCCCTACTCCATCAGACAATGCCCATACCATTGTTCATGTCCAGGGGTAAAGCATATAAGTTCTTTGGCTACACCATTTCCTATACTGTACTTTACATCCCTGTGGCTATTATGTAACTACCTATTTGTATTTCTAAATCCTCTCACCTTTTCACTCATTCCCCCATACCTCATCTCATCTGGCAATCATCAAAACACTCTTTGTATCTGTGGTTCTGTTTCTGTTCTTGTTTGCTTAATCTGTTATTTAGATTCAATTGATAGATTTGTATTTTTGCCATTTTATTGTTTATAGTTTTGATCTTCTTTTTCTTAATTAAGTCCCTTTAACATTTCATATAATAATGGTTTGGTGATGATGAACTCCTCTAGTTTTTTCTTGTCTGGGAAGTTCTTCATCTCCCCTTCCATTCTAATGCAATCTTTGCTGGGTAGAGCAATCTTTTCTGTAGGTCTCTGCTTTTCATGAGTTTGAATATTTCTTGCCAATCCCTTCTAGCCTGCAAAGTTTCTTTTGAGAAGTCAACTGTAAGTCTTATGGGAACCCCCTTGTAGGTAACTAACTGCCTTTTTCTTATTGCTTTTAAGATTCTCTTTTCAACCTTTAGCATTTTAATCATGCTGTGTCTTGAAATGCGCCTCTTTGCATCCATCTTGTTTGGGACTCTCTATGCTTCCTTGACTCACTGTCTATTTACTTCACCAAATTAAGGAAGTTTTATTTCACTAATTTTTCAAATAAATTTCCAATTTCTTGCTCTTTGTCTTCTCCTTTTGGTATACTAAGATGCAAATGTTGGAGCACTTGAAGGTGTCATAGAGGCTCCTTATACAATCCTCATTTTGGGGCAGGGGATTCTTTTTTCTTCTTGTTTTTCTGATTGATTGTTTTTTGCTTCCTTATGTGCCATATCATTGATGTGATTCTCAGCTTCATCTACTCTACTCTTATTTCCCTATAAATTGTTCTCTATTTCAGTTTGTTTATCCTTTATTTCTGACTAGATCATTTTTATGCTGCTGAGGTCCTCACTGAGTTCCTTGAGCATCCTTATAACCAATGTTTTGAACTCTGCATCTGATAGTTTGCTTATCTCCAATTCGTCTAGCTCTTTTACTGGAGTTTTGATCTGTTCTTTCATTTGAGCCATGTTTCTTTGTCTCCTCATTTTGGCAGCCTCCCCATGTTTGTTTCTCTGCTAAGTAGAGCTGCTTTGACTCTGTGTCTTTGTAGTGTGGCATAATGTAGTAGGTGTCCTGCAGGGCCCAGTGGCTCAGCCTCCCCTATCACTGAAACTTGGTACTCAGGGTGTGCTTTTCTTCTGGGCTGAGTACACCTTCCTATTATTAAGTTGCTATTGGACAATCAATGGAAGGGATTTACTTGGGCCAGTCAATTACAAGGATTGGATGTGACTACTGATCACTAAATCTGCCCCTCCGACATGGTCTGTAGCTGTCCACTGTGTGTGCTGGCCTGGGGGTTTCCCAGGTGGTGCTGGCCAAAGTCAACCCCCACATGTGTTTTTCCCGGGGCCACCCTGCCTGGGCAATCTAAGCAATCTAAAGCAACCTAAGATGGCTTCTACTTGTGCTGGGTTTGGAGATTCCCAGGTGAATCTAAACTGTGAATCTAGTCCGGCTGCTGCTACTGCCAAGCCTGAGGCTCACTGAGGCCAGCTGTTGCTTGTTTGATAGGATTTAGGAAGTTGTGAAGCAGGAGCCTAGACCAGCCTTTCATATGGAAAAGCAGCTTGGCTGGGCCTGTAAATTGGGTGGGACAGAGTCTCTGGGGATCTTCAAGGCATGTCAAACAGTGTTAGCCAGGTTGATGGAGTCCCAGATAGGTACCAGTTTGCCAATTCTGTGGGGGGAACATTTAGAAAAGCTACAATAACCTCTGCTTGCCTTGATGCCATATACTCCAGTTTCTCCCCGTATACCACTGGTGCCTTTTAAGCTGCTACCCTGGTGCTGGAGATCAGAGAGACCAAATCTGAGTAGGTGAGTCATGTGTGGGTTCTTTAAGAGGAACTGCTTGGCTCTCAAGCAATTTCTCTCACTGACTCAATCCTCACTGGTTTTTGCAGCCAGAAGTTGTGGGGGCTTATATTCCTGGCACTAGAGCCCTGGACTGGTGGGGCCTAGTGTGGGGCTGAGGCTCCTCACCCCCGAGATATCCCTCCCAAATTTTTAACCACCACACATAGGTGAAGGACTAGCCCCCATTCCATGTCTGTGCACCTCCTACTAGTTAGTCTGTATGGGTGTGTTTTCTTTAATTCCATAGTTGTCAGATTTCCATTCAATTAGATTTCTTATGGTTCTGAGTGAGGGTTGTTCTATATTTTAGTCGTAATTTTGATGTGATTGTGCAAAGAGTTAAGCCATGTCTGTCTAAACCGCCATCTTGACTAGAAGTCTCAAATCATGCTTTTTATGATTCATTTGCAATTCATAAATACACTTAGTGAATTTTAAAAATCTTATGAGATTCCTCTCCTGTTGTAGGATGAGGGAAAAATAAGTTCAGACATATCATGTTATTACTACCTATCAATTAATAATAAGATTTTCCATCTTTTGAGCATACACAAA